TTAAAAGGTAAAAATAATAATCTTGCTTCTCTAGGAAAAAATATTATAATTCTCTGTAAAAATATTTATTTAAAGTATGAGAAAACTTATTCTCTTAGCATAGATGATCAATCATTTTACTAGAAAAAGAGCGTATTATTTTAAAAAACGATAAGAAATTGACGACAAAACTGAAATCATGAAAAATTTTGGGAGAAACTGTTTTAGTTTTTATGTTAGACCAATTATTAAGGTAAGCAAATTAACAGTTTAGTCCTTTATTTAGTAAAATTGGAAGCGGTAAAAAACTATGCATTTTGGAGTTAGCTCTAATAGAATCACGTGTTGTAACTACCGAAGAAACAGAAACAAAATAACCACATTAAATTCGATTATTTACAACAAATGAAACTGTAAAGAGATATATCAATATAATTTTAAGTCTTGCACAAGACAAAATTACTTCGAATCCGAAAGATGTATTCATTGGTTGTACATCGGTAGAGCAAATAGCTTTTTTCGCCAAAAGCTGCACAAGATGTAATTAAATGATACTAGAGGATTTCCTTACGAAACTATATTTGTGAATGATGTTTTCTACATGATAACAACAAACATAGATGTGTCTTATGGTTTAACAAATGGAGCTGTAAGTAAACTGGTTCATATTGAATACAATGATAATGGAGAAGTAAATGTTGTATGGCTTTATTTTTCGGATTTACTACTGATCGACTAGAAAGTCCAAACGAATGTTGCTGGACATTTTGCTGCTATTTAGATTAAAAAACAGCAGTTCTGATCGGACGTTGAGCTTAAACTATTTCTCTTAACAACAATAAATCAATTAACGTTAAGCGTTCACATTACCCAGTAATTTGTGCTTTTGCGACGACAATTTACAAATCACAAGGGACCACATATGCTGAAATTGTTTATGAATACGATAAAACCATCAATTGACATTTATTTATGTCGCTGTTTCTTGTGTATCACGTATTAAAGGCCTTTTCATTACAACAAGAGACAATGATATTAGTTTTTATCACAGCTGAAGACCATCAACTGCAGTAATTATTTTTTAAGATGAATATAAGAGTCTCTTAAATAATTGCTTAGTGACAATTAGTAAGAACATCTAACATTTTATCTACCAATAGAAAAGATTACCGCTGTATACTTTTAATTTTCAATATCTACAGACTCACTTCGATAATGCGATTAATTCGATTTTACAAAAATTACTACTTTAAATTTTGAATGAAACTTAGTTTCATGGAAACGAGTATGTAAGTATACCAAATTCCAAATGTATTATTAAATAAAGATTTTCTAATGTTCTAGCTGGGGGAGTTATTATCACAGTGCGAATGACAATACTAACATTCTGACTCCTAATATCGACATGACTGTCAGACAGTCCGATTTTGTTAGTTCTGCGAAGTCATCAGTTTTTAATAACGGAGTGTAAAATTGAAGATTGAAAAATAATTGTTTAAATAGCAATTTATATTTCTTTAAATAAAAAAAGTGAAGATATTATTCATTTCTTAAAACAGGCGCTATTTGCATACATAGCATATGGAGCAACTATATAGGTGAAGGCGAGGTTAAGCTACCGATTATTTTAACTAGAGATTTTATTGGTAATTTCAACTCTGACAATTCTTTTATACATATCAACTTTTTACGTGAAAATTTAAATCTTTTTATAAATAATTGCACAAAAGTTTCTGCAACCTGACATTGTATTACAATTGATTTACATGATATTTAGATATCGTTTCTACTGGACTATGTGTATCATATTTTAGTTACTATAGGCCTTTTGGAACTCATATGTCCATTAGATCACAAGCAAATTAACTAATGGACGTAAATTAATTACATTTTAATATATATAAATTTCATATATAATAATATTTAAGTTTTTTATTATATTTAAATTACCAACCAGGGTCTTTATGCCACAAGGCTTTTCGCTGACGAGTCAATGAAGTATTTTAGCTTGTAGTGTTTATTAAATTATACCTATTAATTAGGTGTTTATTAAATTATACCTATTAATTAGGCCTTTATCAATTGTATTTAATACCTTAATTTCTTTTTATCATTTTATCGTTTTTTCGACAAATGTGGGGTATTATAATGCCACGCGGGGTAATTGAAGTTATTATTGATGTTTTTTTTATGTTACTAATCTCTATGCTTCAAGCGTTTTTCCATAGAACTGAATACGCGTTTACCTGTGAGGGTGCATAGTGTTTCCTAACTAGAACACTAGTCACTTAACCCTTTTATCTGCGATGTAAACCTAATGCACAGTATACTATATCTCAACGTATGTATTATTATTTAAATACTTGTATTCTCAGGAGTGGTAGATAACACGTCCGTATTTACTAACGATTACCGGGGAACTATTTTTGTAAAGTAAAATGCTTCACTAGTTTTTTGTAACATGAAAAAAGGTTAAAAGCAAAAGGAAAAAAATAAATATTATTATTAAAAAACTAAAAAAATCCCCATGACGGCGTAAAAGAAAAACATATTTTTTTCTTACTTTTATTTTATTCTGCATTTTACCCTTGAGAAGGTTCACAAGAAACTAAATGCAAAACTGTCAACTATTCCTCATGGAAATCTCTCTTGTAAAATGTTTAAAATGCCCCTTTAAATTTTTTAGTTTACAAAGAGGGAAAATAAGAACGTACTCTCTTCGTATCGCTGAAAGTATTAAAGAATTGATCGCTAAAGGTTCTCACTGATACAAGGGTTCAGTTAAATGATGAATAATTTATTCAACTTTTTAACTCTTCTAAAGAAACATTTCAAACTCTTCTGTTCAACAATTTTTAAAATGCTACTGCTTTACTAGCTAATATTTTTTTCTGTAAGAAGTTTTTCATTTTTATATGAAAAAAATTTTTCATCGTATATGTACAGTCAGAGCGTTTAAATGACGATAACTTTTATTCAGTTTAATCTCTTTTTGACTGGAATATAATCGGTTTCCTTGCAAAGTTTGATTAGTACTTTAAATTTACTAAAAAAAAAGACTTTTTCAAATTAGGCTACATCTTAAGGAGTTATATAAACTTAAGTCAGCTCTTGATCAGTCTGAGAATCTTGGCTAGGAGAGTAATCTAAATAATTGTGATCTATATAGTGAGTGATGAAACTGTGATAAGTAGTCACAAGGAAGGGAAAGGGAGTAGTAGTAGTTTTTCTAAAGAGAAAAATAAAAACATTAAGGAATGGATCGCAGAAGGTTCTCGTCGATACAAGGGTTTAGTTTCACGATAAATGATTAACTCAGCTTTATAGCTCTGCTCAAGAAGCATTTTAAACTCTTCTGCTCAACTGTTTTGGAACTACTAATATTTCAGGGAATTTTATTTTTTTTGTAAAAGGTTTTTTTTTGTTATAGGCTTTCGTTTTATGGGTTTCGTTGTATGGGCTTTCTTTGTATGGTTTTCTTTTTTGGGCTTTCGATTATATGAGACTTTCGTTAATTTTTCCTCAGGCGCTGTAGCATTATTCATCGAAATCGATGAAAAAATAGTAATTAGTAGATTTTATCAGACGTTATTACACTATACTTTTATACCTTGTCTACTGTTTAAAATTTTTTATCAGAATCGATTAAATAATTGTAATCAATAGATTTTAACAGACTCTATATTACTATACTCTTAAAACTTGTTTACTGTTTAGCTTATTACTTAAGTCAAACATACAGATTTAATAAAAGATCTACCAATTAGACAATGTAAAGAATGCGAATTTATTAATAAGACAAAACTACAGGAATTAACACAAAAATTACAAAAAAAGCTTTTCTCTTATATGATCATTTTCTCTGACCTATTCCTACCCCTCACTTTTTGGTTCAGTTACTCCTTTGCGTTACCAATAATTAGGAGATACAAACAGGGACCTGTTTTTGATGGTTTCATTAACATCTGCAAAGTTGTTTGGTCAAAAAACTAGGGAAAATGTAATGTTTGTTTTCGGAGATCAAGTTTAATCGACAATCAAATAGAGGAACCTTAAATGTTTGCAGCAGTTTATAAGAAAAAATCTATCATATTTGCTTTAGATTTAATTTATGAATCATAAGAACTATAAAAGAGAACGCAATTTTGTAAATTTTAAAGCAATTGTAGCATTTATTAACACTTAGAAAACAGAAAAGTGAAGATCTGGAAAAAATTTCCTCTTAGGTTCTTAGTTTCAGGGGCACACCAAGTGTGACCGCCTAAAGAACAGGTGATTTTTTAAAGTTTTTTTTAAAGAAAACTACTGCATGAAATGTTTTGAAATTTAGAGGATATGTTTATCTATAATTCACAACTATACACCTATATTTTCAAATAAAAATATTAAATTTTAAGCGAGTTATTTGCTATCTCCCAAGTCACAAAAAAAATGTCCTCCATTGCTACAGTGATTGCGACCTTCATCGTTAATAAAATCAAAAAAATTAAAAGTAATATTATACTAGAAGGTATTGCCTATACAATGACCTTCGATTGTGAAAAAAATTAATATGTAACAAAATGGCAGAGTTTTTAAAAAAAATTTCGAATTTTGCTCATAAATTATATGATTTTTAGCCCGCCAAAATTACATTTTTCATACAATCAAAAAACTGAAGAGTCATTGTATAGAGAAACATATATAAAATAAGCAGAAAAAATGTAAAAGCGATAGGATGATGGTCCTTCGAGCCGAATAGGGAGCTTCCTCCCCACTCTTCGTCCGGCATCTATTGTGCATACAGTCTACTTTAACGGAGGAGAAAGAGGCAACGRAAGACTTCCGATCGAGCAACAAAGGAAGTATTGCGTCATCGCTACAAGCCGAGAAGCTTCTATTGTTCCGGTGTGTGAGTACGCTGCACGGGACACTTTGTTCAGAGGATTCACGTGAGTTTTATAATTTCTGTTGCTTGATCATTCTTCAAAGTCGTATTATTCCCCCTCTTTTCTCTTCCTAAATTCACCTTTATCGTGAAAATGCCTCGTTTCAGTAGTGCACGTGGTGAAACCGAGCGCGTTGTACAGAGATTCGAGTTTATAAAGAAAGGATTCGCGCAGTTTCAAAAAGCATTAACCGAAATAGATCGTACCAGCCCGCGCGATATAGTGAAATTAAAGATTAGAAATTCCAAAATCGATAATAATTTGGCAACATTAGAGGAGATGGTAGAAAAAACTTCCGGTAAAGCGATAGGAACGCTGGTTGACGAAAATCTTAATCATATCAAGGCAGTCATCGATGTTAAGGCGGAAGCGGAATTAATTATTAATAGAGTTGAATCGGTAGCCACCCAAGATACAAATTCGCCTGCCGCGAGTCTGCTGTCTCCGGTTAGCACTACGGTTAGCAGTCCGTYCGTAGATAGTATTTACAGAATACTGGCGGTGCAATTACCTCGATTTGACGGGCAGCATGAGGAATGGCCGAGTTTCGCGGACACGTTTCAATCTGTGATAGGAAATAATCCCGCACTTCGGGATATACAAAAGTTTGCATATTTGAAATCATACTTATCGGGACCGGCCGCGGAGAAAATAAGAGCTCTGGAAATTATCACGCATAATTATCCGATAGCGTGGATGACATTAGTCGATTGCTATGATAATCCGTTAATACTGATAAATAAGCACGTGCGAGCTATCTTGGAGGGTCCCCCGATGGACAGTGAATTTCCCTCGTCTTTAATTGCCGCGTCCGATGCACAACGGTGCTCCTGAGATGCTTTACCGACGGTGGACGAGTTTGTGATATTTTTACGCGATAGGGGAAATGCGCTAGTAAGCGCCACGCCGGCAGAAAGGCCGAAAAAGATTGATTATAGTAGAAGGAATGCGCTGGCAAGTCCTGATAGGAATTTTCGTTCGAGGAAGTCTATGCGTAACGAGCCGCGTTGTAATTCTCCACGAAATTGGCCGCGAAGTACCGACCAAAGACAAGTTCAAGTTTATTTCTCGAGTGCAACCATCTCGTGTGGCATATGCCGCGAGAAGCATCATCCATCGGAGTGTGAGCTGTTACACAGGGCCGAGCCTATAGAGCGCAAAAGAATCGTAGTTAGCGCCAATTTGTGCATGAATTGTTTTCAAGCTGATCATCAAGTTTTCACATGTAAGAAAGACCGCTGCAGAAAGTGCAAAGGCAGGCATCATGAGTTATTACATGTGAACAAGGCTGCCGCAGAAAGTGCAAAGGCAGGCATCACGAGTTAACGTGTAAAAGAGGCCGTAACAGAAAGTGCAACAGCTGGCATCACGAGTTGTTTGCGTATCCAGACAGTATCGGAAGTGCATGATGCACATGTAAAGCTCAATCACTCGCGTGCACTCGCGCTGCTGCGGCACTGAAGCAATTATTAGATCTTGATGGCGGACCACACGGGTGTCGTGTACTCTTGGATTCGGGTTCCGAAGCGCATTTTTTAATGATCCGTTTTCGCGAATTTTGTACGAATGTCCAAGCAAGTCATGGACCTACCAATATTTACTTTGAAATCGCGAGCAGAAAATTGCGGTAGAATTGGAATTTTTAATGTCACCAGCTGTAACGAATCGGTTACCCTCGCAACGAATTCCGCGAGAAGAATTAGTTATGCCGGCAGGGATCTAATTGGTAGATCTCGACTTTCATGAACCCGCGAATATCGCTGCGATTCTCGGTGTCGAGATTTTTACATCACTATGACGCTCAGGTCAGAGCCATTAGATTGAATGAAAGCTTAATGGCACAAGGAACTGTGCTAGGATAGCTCGTTATGAGCACAGGAGCCACGCGTACTCCGCAGAGCGTTAACTGCCACACGGCTACAGTAGAATTAAATTCATAATCGGTGAAATTGTAAGGATTAAAGAATTAACTAAGACTAGTATTAGGTCGCACGAAGAAAATTGGTGCGAATCGCAGTATAGAAGCAACACGCGACGGGATGATACAGGCAGATATATAGCAAGGCTGCCATTCAAGGAAGAGAATCAGTTAGGCGATTCGTACGCGAGCGCGTTGCGAAGATTTCACGCGTTAGAGCGGTTATGATCGGGCAAGCCGGAAATTAGAAGAAAATATGCTAAGTTTTTATTGGAGTGTGAAAAATTAAAAGTAACGTTGGACGAAGATGTCCCAGTCGACATATATAAAATGCGGCAAGCTTTTCGCCGAAGCTTCTACGCGCTCGAGGAGATAAGGTTCGCGCGTTGCGTAACAGGTGACGGAAAAGCATTGGAAATGCACGATTTTTACGACGCGATCGAAAAGGCTCAAGGCGCGTATATTAACGTTAAAATGACGGGAAAATCCCAAGGTGCTGTTAGTTTGCATCAAATTTCTAAGGTCGCTCTGCGTTAAGAACTTTTCGGCGCATTAATACTCCCACGATTTGTTAAAGCGACTAAAAACGCTTTGCGTAGACTTATAGAACGTTGTATTAAATATTCGGACATATATTTCGACAGCACGACTAATTTTCTTGGTTCTGTGAACGAATAAGAGGCTCGCGGCTTCGCGAAGCTTAGTTAATGGAAGAATTAAGTGGCATTTCATCCCTCCCCACTCCCTCATTTTGGAGGTCTATGGGAGGCGGCGATGAAATCTTTTAAATACTATCTAGCTGGATTTGCCGGCGATGCAGTGTTATCATATGAGGCATTATTAATTTACGTCCTCGAGATAAAGGCTATTCTAAACTTGCGTCTTATCACTCATCTGTCTAATTATCTGAACGATTTGCGTGCCCTTACACCTGGTCATTTTTTAATTGGAGATTCTTTTTCAAATCTGCCAGAGGACGAGAACAGGGATGTATCATCTGGGCGTCTATCGCAATAGAAACACGTTCAGCGGGTGAGACAGCATTTCTGGAAACGATGGAATAAGGAATATTTGAAGGAGCAGACGCCGCTAGGACGTGTCACGAAAATGCATGCGAGAGCCGACGGAGTAACACGCGTGGCAACCGTGAAACCTGCCAACGGTTTTGTTGTAAAGCGCGGTATTAAACGTCATTCTCCATTGCTGAGCGATTTATAAAAAAAAGAGATTTCGAAATTTAGTAGCAATAATTATTGTCTCACGCATATACATTGTAATATGCGGTTAACAGTATGTATATGTTTTATAATTTGTATTTAAGTGTGTGTATCCTTTTAAATTTTGAACGGTGCCCGTTCAAGGGGGGCAGTATGTTGTGTATCCTACGCAACGAGTGAGTAGGGCGAAGCGTCAGGGCGTGTACGGCCCTGCCGAGGCGTGAGACACGCGCGACAAAGCAGTATCTTTGTTTTTGGTGGCAACCAAGGGAGCGCCAAGACCTTTGTAAGGGCTCTTTCTTTCTTCTAGCTTGCGCTCTTCCACCACATTTATTACGCCAATCGTATGTATCGACAGCCGCGTTATCATCGGGCTTTTCGGTGGTTGGTCCAGCATTGCATCGCTGTTTCCTATAAAGCCTGGCGCGATCCTTCAGCCGTCGTTATTTGGGCATTCGTCATTCGACATTCATCCTTCTGACTTTGGAAAGCAGCTGAGACTTGCGAGAAACACTTCGAGAAAAATTATTGTATTGCGCAATACTACATCATCTAAGTTCGGCCAGCGACAAAGGATAAAAGCGGTCCTGCACGTGGCCAGAATTGTTCTGGTTTTGTACCGATACTTCTTCATACATTTCAACCAGGGTTTTTATGCCGAAAGGCTTTTCCCTGACGAGCCAAATAAAGCGTACTTTTTAGTACTGGCTGGGCTCAAATATATTGGGTTTATTTGTGTTTTATTTTCCTATTCTTCTTCCTATTAATAAACAATCTCGATTTCACACGTGAGGGCATTTTCGATTCACGATATAAACCACTGGAGTACCGATTGAGGCGTCGGTCGCAACAGATGATTTGTCTTTGAGTTAAGACTGCAGCAAATTTGAAAAATGTAGTTTAAAGAAAAACGCGTTTAAAGATAAAATGATTGACTTATAATCCCTGAGCGGCTACTCTTTAGAAGGCTGTAACTTTAAAACTATTTGAAATATTTATTTTAAATTTTTGTATGTTATTTTTCAAGATATAGACTATCAAAATATGCAAGAAAAAGAAATCGATTTTTTCAACATTTCACACTAGGTTTGCCCCTTAACCCTTTCACTACGAGCCGTCGCCTACAGGCGACATCCGCGCGCCGTCCTGTGTGTACGAGCGTCGCCTGTAGGCGACATCATCTGCCTGTTAAAATGCTCAACTAAATAAAAACTGAGCTAATTGTGTTTCTTGGCCAAAAACTTGATATAATGGTAACTCGACGACGCTGAATAAAATGGTGCTAATTTTTTTGCAATTGGATCAGGAGATCTTTAAGAAAAAGGGTAAAAAAGGATAAAAAAGAGTAAAAAACGGCCAAATCTTAGAATCTAGGAATTAAATCAAAAAAAGTTTTAAACAAAAGTTGTGTAGAATTAAAAAATACATAAAAAGTGTTTTAACACGTTCCCGCCGGCGCCTATTTTCATTTGATTACCACAACGGCGCTTCATCTGGCGGCACGCGTTTCTCGCGTGTTTAAACTTGCACGCGCTTGTTGTTTCTTCAGTATTACATTGAGCGCTTAGTTTGCAAATTATGTGACTCGTGCCGTTTTTTATATCCTAACCACAGATTTCTGTTAGTAAAAATAACTAAAAAGGTTGTTCGAATATTTTTTTAAATTTTGTTCTTAAAAATATTTTTTTAATTTTACCCATATCATGGATATGGAAATAAGTGATTCGTCTGATAAATGTTTAAATAGAGGCAGGAGAAACGCATCAAGATTACGAATACTTTCTTCCTCTTCAGGCGAAGATTTTGTTGACGTAAACAGCAACGCTATGAAATGTTTCTCGGGGGAAGATTATGTATCTGAATTAGAGAACGAGGATAACAATGAAGAATGGCAAGAAATAAAAGGAAGAACTTCATTAGTAAATAAGTATTCGGAAGAAGAAAAATTTTTACGTGAAGACACCGATTGTAATGATCCTTTTGCTTTATACAAATTATTCTTTACGGATTACATATTAGAAAAGATAGTCGAAGAAACAAATAAATATGCTGCACAATGCATAAATAATTCATTATTTATAAGTAGAACGCACCAACTGCCCTGGAAGCCTGTTACAAAAAATGAATTGAATACTTTTATTGGCATCTTGCTGATTATGGGTGTAATGCTATCACCAGATATTAGATTATATTGGTCTCAAAAGGAGATGTATACAAACCTACGCATAAAAAATGCAATAAAACGTGACCGTTTTTTATCGATTCTTCAGTATTTACATTTTTCGAACAATACCACTGCTAAAATGATAAGATTGGTTAAACAAAATTCGAGACGTTATTGAAGCATTTGTGGATACGTTTAGGAGCTCTATTAGACCTGGTAAAAATATCGTCATCGATGAAAGTATGATTCCATGGAGAGGACGCCTAGGTTTTAGGCAATATATCCCAGSCAAGCGACATAAGTACGGCGTAAAGATATACAAATTATGTTTGCCTGAAGGTTATACTTATAATTTTGAAATTTATGCCGGGAGAACTGAAACGATCATTGAAAAATCACATGCTCATGATGTGGTAATGAGGTTACTAAATGGCCTATTCTTTGAGGGCCACATACTTTTTATTGATAATTATTATACAAGTGTCCCTTTGGGAGAAGAACTTTTAGAGAACAGTACATTTGTTTGTGGTACTATAAAAATRAACAAAAAATTTCTACCACCACAGGCAAAACAGAAACAAAAACGTGGGAAAATTATGAGTTTCGAAAATCGTAGCGGTGTAAAATTTCTTAAATGGACTGAAAAAAGACCAGTTTGCATGTTAACTACCGTAAAAAATCACCAGTGTAAATTGGTACAAGGAACAAATGGTAAAGTGAAGCCTGATGCCGTGTTTGATTATAATGTGGCAAAAAAAGGTGTAGATATGTCAGATCAACTATCGGCGTATTACAGTTGTTTACGAAAAACGATTAAATGGTACCGAAAAGTAATTATACAATTAATATGCGGAACTTCCCTCGTAAATGCGTGGTATATTCACAAAAAATGGGGGACTAAAAATATGAACATGCTACAGTTTAGGGAAGTTATCATTGATCGCCTTTTAGACAATAAAGAAATAAACTGTCATATACCTCCAGATAAACATATTCTTCAATCACACGTGGGGTCGGCAAGAGAGTTCCGTAAACGCTGCAAGGAATGCTACMAAAAGTTGTCCAAAACGAAGGGCAGAGATTATGCCACTGCCAATACAACAAGAGTAAAGACGTTTTGTGGTCGTTGCGAGGGTCAGCCAGCGCTTTGCTTGAAATGTTTCAACAAATTACACAAAAAATAATTAATCATTAAGTTACAAATAAAATAATATTGAACTATTATTTTAATTTTATCGAATTTAAGTTACTTTTATAGTACTGAATTTTTATGTGTGTTATTGAGAAAAATTTATGTTCATAATACGTTATTAATTATAATCTTAATTCAAAATAAACGTTTTTATGTATGTACGTTAAATTATCAGTGTCTAATAGCACAATCGAATGCGAAACACCGGTAATACACGCCGCCCGATGGCGCAATCAAGCGTGAGCCACCGGTGGTACGCGCCGGCATTAACGTGTTAAAGTGTATCTTCGTATGTGCAAAAATAAGCGAGAAAATGAAGGTGAAAGGTAATTGTAAGAGAGGGGGCAAGCACGTTTCTACGTCGGTCTTCACAGGCGGACGAGCTAGTGTGCATTATTTTGGGGTCTCTCGGTCGTGAATGCGAGTGCGAGTGAGAAAAGAAAAGGATACTTCTCCCTTTCTTATTGTTTAGGCGATAGCAAGTATTTTTGTGTGGGCCATCGATTTTTGAGTGTTCTGTATTATATATTTCTGATATTTTTTCATGTTGTAGCGAGAATTTTTCGTCTTGGCCATCGAGTGTCGAGCGTTATGTATACGAGTGCGAGTGAGACAAGAAACCGATATTTCTCTCTTTGTAATTTTTTTTTCGGAAGCGAGAATTTTTCGTTTTGACGATCGAGTGTCGAGCGTTCTGTATATCTATATATATCGGCGTATAAGCGCGGCATTTTTAAATCGAATTTTGATGCTTATGGTATTTTTTACTATATTAAAGAATGATATATTTTTATATTAAAAAAATAAAATGTTACCTGTAATTTTAGTAATAAATCTTCCTTTATATGCGCAAAATAATAAACATTTTATTGTTCCTAATTTTTTTTGTAATAATTTTAACTTTCTTTCTTGTATAAAATTAAAAATTAAGAAATGTAAAAAGAATTTGTATAACTTAAGGATAGAAAAATTTATAAAAAAAAATTTCCCCTACGAAGAATCGAACGTTTATAACCGGCGCGTGAAGCAGAGACGATACTATTTGCAATAAATAAAAAAACGGCGTTCCATTAGCATCAAGATTCGATTTAAAAATGCCGCGCTTATACGCCGATATATATATAGATATACAGAACGCTCGACCCTCGATCGTCAAAACGAAAATTTCTCGCTTCCGAAGAAAAAAATAGAAAGAGAGAAATATCGGATTCTTGTCTCATTCGCACTCGTATACAAAACGCTCGACACTCGATGGCCAAGACGAAAAATTCTCCCTACAGCATGAAAAAATATCAGAAATATATAATACAGAACACTCAAAAATAGATGGCTCAAACAAAAAGGATCGCTATCGCCTAAACAAATAGAAAGGAAGAAGTATCTTTTTCTTTTCTCACTCGCACTCGCATTCACGACCGAGAGACCCCAAGATAACGCWCACTAGCTCGCTCGCSTGTTAAGACCAATGAAGAGGCGTGGCTTGCCCCCTCTCTTACAATTACATTTCACCTTCATTTTCTTGCTTATTTTTGCACATACGAAGATAGACTTTAAATGTACTTTTCAATTCTGCACAACTTTTGTTTGAAACTTTTTTTGATTAAATGCATAGATTCTAAGATATGGCTTTTTTACTTTTTTTTACCCTTTTTCTCAAAGATCTCCTGATCTAATTGCAAAAAAATTAGCACCATTCGATTCAGCGTCGTCGAATTACCATTATATCAAGTTTTTGGCCAAGTGCCCAAAAAGTCGGCAGTTTTCCTGTTATTGACTGGACTAAAATAGAAAGGGAGAAGTAACCTTTTCTTTTCTCACTCGCACTCGCATTCACGACCGAGAGACCCCAAGATAACGCTCACTAGCTCGCTCGCCTGTTAAGACCAATGAAGAGGCGTGGCTTGCCCCCTCTCTTACAATTACATTTCACCTTCATTTTCTTGCTTATTTTTGCACATACGAAGATAGACTTTAAAACACTTTTTATGTATTTTTCAAGTCTTTACAACTTTTGATTAAAACTTTTTCCAATTAAATGCCTAGATTCTAAGATATGGCTTTTTTACTTTTTTTTACCCTTTTTCTCATTACCAGAGAATCTGATTGCAAAAAAATAGCACCATTCGATTCAGCGTCGTCAAATTACCATTATATCAGGTTTTCCCAAGCTAGTTGAATTTACTAAGTTTTCCTTTATTGACTGGACTATAGGTAAGTGTACAGCTGATAAGTTCTTTTTCTCTTTCTTGTCACTCGCACGCACGTACTATGTTGGCCGATAGTACGACGATGTACTTACTCCACGAAAAATGGGCAGACACTATCTCACAGCTATCTTTTCGCTACCGCGCGCGCTCATTGGTCAAATCAAATAGCGCGCGCTTCACCGGTTTTCTGTTACACATTTCCGTCCCTTTTCACGAAATCACTCCCAGATACCGAGCGAAAAGATGTTACACATCAAACAGAAAAATAAAAATCAATTATAGAAATTTGTCCATAGAAATTAAGATAAATACAGATTTAGAAGATTCGTAAAACTGGATTCCCGCCAATACAACCAAATTACAGGGTTTAAAATGTTGCAGGATGGGTAAACAAAAAAAAAGCAATAACTTTTTTTGTATCATTAGAAATGAAATAGCTTTAAGACATAACTCTTATCGACAATTATAATCTATTTGATGATTCAGCAGGACCAAAAAACACTGCAGGAAAAGTAGAAAATACAGCAGTAAAACCACCATTAATATACATCAACGCGAAATTCATTGACCCTCTGCCCAAGTTATTAGAAGAAACAGCTAGAAAAATAACTATGTTGTAAAACAATTGAAAGATAACCAAATGAAAGAACAAACTACTACCTCAAATACGTTCATGAAGGTAATAAATGCACTAAAAATTAAAGACACGGGGGATACCACACGTATCAGGAAACAACGAGAAAAGTTATAAAATCGTAACTTAAGGACTTTATCTTTAGTCAAATATAGTTAAAATAACAAATGAATAACACAAATATGATTACAAGGTAAGATCGATAAATAATATAACAAAATTTGAACATAATAGCTGCTACCTTTATTTTTTATTGAACTGGCTCCTCAGGATATTAACAAAAACATATATATGTGATTAATATTCTGGTTAATACAATAATTAAAGTCAAACCTCTTAGAACTAGAAGAAAAATACCACAATGCACACGATTCCAGCTTATAGACACACACAAAATTATTGCAATAGAAATACTGCCTGTGTCAAATGTGTACAAAAACATTTAACAACACTCTTTCCTCAAGAGGGCAAAATCGAAAACATCAGATGTGTAGACTGCAACGGTAACCACATAGAAATTTATAAGAAATGTCAGGCAAGGATACTATTAACGCTAAGAAAAAAGTAGTGGAAAAACCAACTCTAGACGATTTTTAATAAAAAACGAAAAGGCCAATTAAAATAAAATACAATTATTCGAAAAAAATGAATCAAAAAGAAGCTACGCCAAAGTGACTAAAAAAGCACAAAAAAATACAAAAGACTTATGTAAGTCTAATTAAATATTTCTCTTACAGAGTTTCGTCGTTCGTTCCTATTTCATGCCGTAGTTCTTCTTCTAGCAATATTCCAATCTTATTAAATTAATTTCGACAATATTTTCATAATAATCCTTATTTAATTATTCTTTGACAATACTTTCATAATTCCCCTTTTCATTTATCCTTTTATCGCGCAAGTATACATCGACGGTTCGTAATTCAATAATTGTTTTAATACTTTTTGGTTTTGAAAATTCATACATAAACTATTCTAGAACATCCCATATTCTTTCTTTCAAATCGTTCGATGAAATTCTATATTTTTGTTAGAATTGTTTAAAGATTATTCTATCTTTCGGTAGAAAGTTTATTTTGACATCTTTATTTTCAAGAAAACCTAAAGTGTTAGTTTGGTTTATCGTTGGGTTTTGGATGTCCCGGCATTGGCAATGGTTTAAACATTGTCTGGGGATGAAGATTTTACATAAAAACTATTTATTAAATGAGCGCGCTTGATGACCTATGTCTTGCATGATCTCATGGCAACAATAACAACCTGAAGACGATAGGAGAACGTTAATCCTTTTAGTCCTTTTGTCTTAGATCTCATGTTTTCCGATCCTCCCAGCTGCATAGTACGTAGTGTTTATGGTTAACATGTGTTGGCGGAGATGGGTTAAGAGTTACAGCAACCTGGGGTTTGTCGAATTTTTAGATAACTTTTCAGTTATTCACCGTGGTTGCTTCTGTATTGCTAACAGATGTGTGTCTTAATAAAATTATCCCAGTTCTAAGAATAATTATTATACACTCTTTATAAAGTGGTTTTGATAAGTTAATCTTCTATCAATACTATTGCTGTTATTGTTTCGGCACTTACTACTAAAATGGTTTCGGTTGTCTTTTATGTAAATCACTGAAATATTGTCTCAATTAGTTAATTTTATTCTACTGTGAAAAAATTTAAGGAAGATATATGTGGTGGGACGTCACAATTATATAAAAACTATTTTGATAGCAAAAGTTTGTTACATAACTTTTATATCAGTGTACAGATTACGGGAGCTTAGACTATCTTTTCGTCGTATGGTTAAACGTAAGCAATAAATTATTTCGACTAAAAGCGAACAAAAGCAAAATCTTCTTGCCATAAACTGTCGAATTCTTGAACGATGACTCGTCGTCCTGGGAAATTACGCATCGATAATGAATGTAGTTCTTCTACCATATTAATTTATTTCTCTTTTACTAGAAATATTCTTATCTAACATTCAGTTTTTTATTTATAAGAACGTCAGCAATATATTCTCTATTTCTACTTACAAGTTAATTATTGAGATTATTTTTTTGATTATATTTTTGTAGTTTTACTTCTTTTAGCACGTTTGGAAAAAAATTATGTGAGTTAATTTTTACGATGCGCGCGTACTGACAACAAAATCTACACTTT